TCTATCACACCTCTCACTTTGCACTCTCAATAAAATTGGACAAAGAAAGAAATAGAGAAAGGAGGGAAGCAACAAGCTTTGGCAAAACACTTGGACTTTGATATATGACAAAAGGTTTACAAACTGATGGAATAAGAAAGCTTACAAGCTTCTTCACAATTGGAAGTGGGATTCGGATGGGATCATACTAAAGCCTAGCAAGGAGGCTTATTTATACAAGCAGAAAATGAATAAACAATAAGACAACACATGCAAACAGATCATGTGAACTTTGGACAGCTTGCACACAGCAGCTCACATCTCTGCTATCTTTCAACACACTTTCAGCTAGCACATGGAGGAAACTTTAGTCTTTGTAGTTGCAACATGTGTGGATACAACCTGTAAAGAAACTACCAGCTAGCAGCAACCTTTTACAGCCTGTTTTTATTTGAATTTCCAACACATTCGCATAATTCGAAGATGTGCGTCATCCAATATGCCGTTCCGCGCATTCTAATAGGAGCATATTCATTCGACTTAAATGGCTTGTTCTCGTGCATTTACGTTATGTTTCTTTAGTTATTTTAAGTACTTTAAGCTATTTTCGTGTGTTTGTAGGTCCAAAGGGCTAAAGGAGCAAAAAGATGCATTTTGGAGACTTTTGGAGCACTTTTGGGCTAAGGATGGATAGCTTATGCTTGGAGCCAAAGTGTTGGACGAAATTGAAGACCTAATTGAAGACCAAAGTGTTGGAACCTTGTTCCCTTTAGTTCTAGGACATTTAAACCTTTCCTATAACCATTCCACATGCCATTGTCATTCCACTTCATTTCACCTTGCATTTTCAGATTATTCCTTCATCATTGCACCCTCACATGTCCCTTTAATCATTCAAACATGCACTCCCTTTAATCACATGCATAAATCAGCCACATGCATCTCCCATCATCATTCCACTTTAACCCACATGCATTTCCACCCACATGCTCTCCCATTTCAGATTATTCCTTCATCATTGCACCCTCACATGTCCCTTTAATCATTCAAACATGCACTCCCTTTATTCACATGCATTTCAGATTGCATTCACATTCTTTAAATCAGCCAACACATGCTTGCACATGCATTTCCAACCCACATGCATCCTTTAATCATTCAAACATGCAGCCACATTCCCTCCTAGCTGTCATGTTCCCCCCCATTTCGCCTATAAATAAGCATTCATTCCCACTCATTCTCATTCATTCTTCCATACACATTTCAGTCACAAACACCAACCATTCCCTTGTGCCATGCTCTCTCCCTAATAATCCAAACACCACACCAGAAATCATCCCATTGCCGTGGCCTCCTCCTTCCATTTTCACCACTCCCCAAACCATTCACACCATCAAACTATCCATTAGACCTTGTGCTACAACGAAGAGGAAGATAAGAGGGCCTAAACGTTCATACAATTCAAGTTTGAGTTGTTGGAATGTTTAGGTGTTTCTTTGATTTCAATGTTTAATTTCAATACTCTTTGTTTTGTACGAATGAGGAATGGAAGAGAAGAGGGCCTAAACGTTCATACAATTCAAGTTTGAGTTGTTGGAATGTTTAGGTGTTTCTTTGATTCTCTTTGTTTTGTATCATGAGGAACTAAACCCCCCCCTTGGCTAGGGGGGGATTCGAAATATATGTTTATGCTTGCGTTTTGATTTGATTACTTCTAATTGCATTTCATAAGTCGTGGATTCAATTTGTTTAACTGTTTGATTGATAACTTATTTATGTATGTTTATTGAGAGTGCACGCTTAATTTTCATGCATGAATATGACGCTAGAATATAAGTGAGTTTCACCTAATACTTACGAACTTATATTCACAAGTAGTAGAGGTTGCTTATAAACAATCGCGTTAAACGAATTCTTGGCATAAGTTTCATGCAATCATAGTAACGAATGCCTCGTCAACACTTATAATTTTCATAGAGCGTAATGATTCTTGCTTGTATCTCTATTATGCAATCATGTAGGGGACTTGTGGGAAATGTTTTGGGTTGTCGTATGCAATCATCCAATTCAATAACGTTAGGAAGATTTGAAGGTTAATTTAAGCGGAACTAATTAACCCGGGGTGATGAGTTTCATAATTTATTGAAATGCAATTGGAAATCTTTTTATTATGCAAGTGTAACATGTGTGGAGATGAACCCCTTGGCTAGCATCCATTCATTCCATTTCATCAATTTCATATTTACATTCTGTCTAGTTTATTAACTTGTTTCGTTATTTCAATTTTCCTCCAAAACAAATCCCCCTTTAATTTGAAGTCTTAGATTAGTTAGAAAGTGTTTTGATTTGTGTTTCTAAGTATTTTGATTCAAGTTTTCATCCAATTTCGTCCAAATTAGTGTAGATGCTCAAAACTGCCCAGAAAGTGGTTTTTAGGCAGTTTTGAGTCTTCTAGTTGCTATTTTGGGTTTTAGGTTTGTTTAAGTGTTTTAACTTTTAGTTTTGCATTCTTTGAGTCTAGTTTAGTGTTAAAGTGTCTTAATTTGTGTTTTAAAGTGTTTTGAATCAACCTTTAATCTTAAATTCGTCCAAATTTGTGTTTAAGGTCGGAAACTGCCTAGTTAGTGTTTTTAGGCAGTTTTGAGTCCTTTGAGTCTTTGTGAACGTTTTTAACTTTGTTTTTATGTTTTTGAGTCAATTTAGAGGTTTTAGCAAGCCCTCCTAATCCCCGGTCTAGATCGATCCCTACTTGCATCCGTACTACAATTTGACAACAAGAGGGTTAATTTGTGTGCGTATAATTCTCGCATCACATTCTCATCCAATTTCAAGCAACCAAAAAATATAAGTTTCTTGGGGATCCTTCCATAAACTCCATGTTCATAATCATCACAACCTTGTACAAGTTGAGTTCTTAAACTTGACAGTTTCTCCAGAGAAGTGCAACCATATACTTCCAGCCAATGAACCCCTGGGAGCTCGGGCAAAGACTGAAGGCTTTTGCAAGTATTTAACAACAGGCAAGACAGACAAGAAGCTTGTTTGATGCTTGCTGGTATCCACTTAACCATCGTTAATCTTAGATCTAATCCTCGTAATGAGGTTAAGCAATCGAGGCGAACAGGGGTTTCTAATATACCGGAATAACTTCAAGCCAAATGCGGATGAAGGCAATTTTTGAAGTTTAGAACAGCCATCAAAACTGAGAGTTCTAAGACAGTTTAAATAGTAGATGCTGCTTGGGACAAACTCAAGCTTCTTGCACAGACGGAGATCTAATGTTTCAAGCCCAATTAGATTTTCGATTGATGAGGGTAGCTCTTCAACTGCTGTCCTTCTTAAACTAAGAAACTCTATACGTTCCATAGGCTCCAAGATTTCAGGGAAATAGTTGAATCTACAGCACTCGTTCAGGTTGAGCTTCCAAGGGGATTTCAACTTACAAATGCTCTTTGGGAGACTCACTAACCTTTGGCAATTTTTCAAGTCAACGATTAGGAGACGAGAGAGAAATTTGATTGATGAAGGTAGCTCTTTAACTGCTGTTCCCTTTAATGAAAGAAACTTCAGATGTTCCATAGGCTCCAAAATTTCTGGGAAGCATTCAAATTTAGAGCAACCAGTGAGATCTAGTCCCTCAAGACAACTTACATATGCTCGTAGGGAGACTGACGAGACTTTTGCAATCTTTCAGTCCAATTTCAGTAAGACCAAAGAGACAGTCAATTGATGAAGGCAATGTTTCTATTGCTGTCCCATTCAAAAACAACTCTTGTATATCCCTAGGAGGCTCCGAAACCTTGTGAAGTGATGAGCAACCCTCTGTACTAAACTGAAAGGGGAATTTCAGCTTGCAACTGCAGCTTGGAAGATTCTCAAGGTCTTTACAAAATTCTATATCCAGGTGAGAAAGATTTTCGTTTGACCAAACTGATGAAGGCAATTCCTTTATTGCAGTCTCTGACAAATATAAGGTTTTAATGCTGATTGGCAACTCCGGAAGATATTTGAGATTCGAGCATCCTCTCAGCCCAAGAAAACTAAGTTTGTCAAGATATTGAAAATACGAAGGAATTCCAACCAAACTTTTAAGATTTATATGTTCAATTTTTTGACTCAGAGAGAGATCTGGAATTTCAGTCAGGCGTTTGGAGAAGCTAAAATCGATCACTTTTAAATTCGCAAGTTTCTGTAGAAAGAAAAGAGGAATGACAAGAATGCATAACAAAGCCAGATAATTTACACACTATGTTTTTGGCAAGAACTAAAATAAGAATATATACCTGGCCCTTACTACAAAGCTGTTCGACTTGACTGTGGGCCATTTGAATGTTAACGAGATTTTGTGGAGAAAATTTTGATGGAAAATATTTCAAAGGGTATCCCTCCCAGTGAAGATAACTAAGCGTATCAGGAAGAGACCGAAGACCTTCAGGAAGGTACAATTTGCTGCACTTATTGCTCAAGCTAGAAGAATTATAGATCTCCAGCACTCTCAGATTATACATATTTTTGAAGGCTGCGGGATTCAAGTGTAGCTCTTTAATCTTTAGACATATTAAAGAAAATGCATTCAACCGTTGCAGTTCCCTGACAAACAAAAGACCAGAAGTATAAACGAGGATGCGGTAGACAACAAAATATTCTGAATACTAAACTTGTGGACATCTTACATATTTCTAATCATAAATGAATTACTTCTTGGTGTCTTTCATAGAATTCAAGATTTTTTTTATAGAAAAAGAAAATAAATGCATTTGGCTCTTACTGTATTATTCTTCAATACATGAGAGACATCCTCCTCAATGAATAACCTATTGTGTTTTCCGGGCTCCTCATTACATTGCTCACGAACCATTTCCAGTCCCATTTCTTGTAGTAAATCATGCATTTCTAGGCAGTTCATCTCTGAAATTAAAATGAGAGACTTATCAATAAGAACTTTAATACCTCCCGCAAAAAAACCACGAATATCTAGCATTTCTTTTGCAAGACGTATATCCATCCCGCAAAAAAACATGCTATATCAATTTGCTCAAAACATCTTGGGCAACTTTCTCAACAAAATCAGCCTCAGTCCTGGAAAATATGATTGTGCAGCACAAACAGTATGTATTTAGTATGCCTTAACAATTCTTGTAGTAGAAATTGAAACAAGTTAGAAAGTAAGTTACCCTGTTTTGTTTGAGGCATCAAACCCAGAGATATCGGCTGCAACCGTCAAAGCAGCCCTCCACTTGAGCACCTTGTCCATACTGTCCTTGAAACGTTGTTCAAGTTGAGCAAATGGATCTATGCCGTAAAAAATGGGTACAACAATCTGTCCGTATCTATCCTTGCATTCTAGTACATGCGCAAGTTCCTCCAAACACCATGTGGAAGAAGCATAGTTTTTTGAGAAAATAACCACCGGAAGCTTTGATTTTTCGATTGCTTCTAGAAGGTTAGGTGCAATTTTATCCCCCCTCTCAAGCTTGTAATCAATGTAGGTCACAATTTTCTTCCGAACTAAAGCGGAATAGAGATGGCTGGTGAAAGTATCGCGGGTATCAACACCTCTGAAACTAAGAAACACATCATATTTTTTTTGACAGACAATATCCGAAGCAGAAGAAGAATCAGCCATATTATTCATAAACTGCAAACCCACAAGTCAAAGCATCATAATTTCACCATAACCAATCTCATTTTTGCCGCCAAATTCATACATAATACATATTGATTTTACCATTTTTTCTTTTCAATAACTGAAATAAATTACAACGAAGATCCTCTCCGGATCTTAAACCAGAAATTTACCATCTTTTTTACTATATTAAAGATACAACAAAAGATTGTGTTGTCATAGCGAACTGTCGGAGGGTAAATAAAAAGTTAAAAATTGCAGAGATTAAATGCTAAGTAAGAAACAAATGTAATTAAGGAAGGATGAACTGCTGCACCTCAGCCTCAGGAAATTATTAACAAGTTGAAAGTTGCAGAGGGATTACCTTAATTTCCACTTTCCAGGAAGGAATTGTATGCAGAGATTTGACCAGACTGGAACCAAAAAAGTCTTGTAGTTTGTATGACTTGCTCACATTCTACACCAAACAACCCATAACTGGAATGGGTCGGATCGGGTCGGATAACTAAATAATATAGTGAAAAGAGGGAATTTTTTTTTTTTTTTTTGAAAGAGACAATATTATCTACACGAATAGGAAGGAGTGAGCTTAACCTCGTAATGATCTACTAATAATGTAGTTTAAAATAAACTTTGACGATAATTAAATATAAGATTTCTCACCTATAAATAAAATGATATTTTAAAATGTAACATAAGTGATATGGTGAAAAGAGTTGTGACATGTAGCTAAACTCCATCCTCGTCATCATGCATCACCATCACGACTTCATTACGTCGTCGTTCAAAGTTTGGAAGCCCCCTTCCCGGAGATTGAGGGGTCAAAGTAATTCTAATTTAGTATTTCTTATCATCTTTATAAATTTATTTTTCACTCTTAATTGTTTTCTTGGCCTATATTTGTTATTTTGGAAGTAATTTTTCAAAATGTGATGTGTAAGGGCTCGTTTGGCAAGTGTTTTTAAATGATTGAAAGCGTTTTTTAAAAAAATATTTTTGGACTTCAAAGCTATGTGCTTCTTACTAGAAGCACTTAAATGCTTTTGCAGAATTAACTCTTATTTTTACTAAGGTTTGGTTTCAAAATCATTTTATTTAAAAGTGTTTTCAATTGTTTAAAAACTCTTGCCAAATGAGCCCTAAGTAACTTCCACCTACGGCTGGGCACGGGCCGGGCCGGGCCCAATTTTGAAGGGACCGGACCGGACCTAGGTTCAAAAAGAACGGGCCGGGCCGGGCCGGGGATTACATTTTCTAATATAAGAACCGGACATTACCCGGCCCGGTTGAAACGGGCCGGTTCGAGCCGGGTCCACGGGTCCTTTTTTTTTTTTTTTTGGTTGTTTGAAAAAAAAAAAAAAAATTGTACGGATTGCAGATTGCAATCTGCACAAAAACTGCACAGATTGCAAACTGCACAGATTGCAATCTGCACAAAACTGCACAGAAAACTGCACAGATTGCAAACTGCACAGATTGCACAGATTGCAATCTGCAAAAAACTGCACAGAAAACTGCACAGATTGCAAAACTGCACAGATTCACATCCAATCTAAATACAAAGTCCAATATCCAAGTTCATAGATTAACAATACATCCAAAATAATAATATTACATCTTCCAACATCTAAAAATCAAATCAACATACAAAATATCCGAAAATCCAAGACATCCAAATTCTAATGCTTTTCTCATCTTGTTATTGTTTCATCGTTAATTGAGTACATCTCTTGGTAGTCTAGAATTTGGATTCTAACTCAAGTTACATTTCAGGTTGCATAATTTTTAACCAATAAAGCAATTAATAACAACTGAAAATGCAGAATGGGAAAAGTAAGAAACTACCCGTCTCTGATTAGCCTGTTTTCTTTCCTCAAACTGTAATTTCTTCCGCAATCTCGTAATGTACCTATCATGAACCTTCACAAGTGCAAGAAAAGTTCACTTCAATCACATCCTTTTTAGCACATACCAATTTACCAAATTATATTACATACCATGTTTCCCTTAACAGAAATAATCATTAAATAACACTGATAAAACGTATCGAAGGCGAAAGACCCTAATGCTGCGAGTTTCAAATGTACATATATGAAAGATGAATGAAAACAAAATGTAAGGGCATAAGTGAATGGTAACATTCTTACCAGGTAAAGATAAATGAGAGATAAAAAGTAGGCAACTGGGTGGCAGTAATTGTAGTGGGAAAGCAACCACAGCATGCATAACACAATCCCTTAACACTAACCCAACGAGCACAGCAGCGGAGTAATTCAGTCAAGTGGTTGTGAATCTTTACGCAGGGCCATAAAAATGAACAAAAAAAAAAAAAAATCCCAAACTAGAACTCCTTCCATCTTCTTCACAAGTTTTCTCGGGAAATAAAACATATCCTAACCTCAAAAACAATTCCCAAACCCCGAAACTTACAATCCCTATCAACAATCAAAAACCCCTACCCCTAATCAACACCAAAAAATCCCCAAAACTCCAATATTTCAAACAATCAACCAAAAATCCCAAAACCCTCCATATCAACCTAACAATCATACAAAAATGGACAAGAAAAAACGAATTTTAGCATGAATTTTCAATTGGGGTCAAAACGCAGACTGGGAAAAGCACACAGTCACAGAACCCACATGAATTTTCAATTGGGGTCTTGCTCACTTTGAGAACCCAGAATAGCATCTACAAATCTAATTAAAAAATCCTAAATTCCTAAACCAAAAATTCACATAAATAAAAATACCGTAATTCAGAATTTCCTAAATTTTAGCATGATGATGGTAGCAGTGTTCTCGATGGTGAATCGATGATGGTCTGGGACCTGGAATCAGAGGACTATGAGCACCCTAATTTAAGAACTCAACAAAACCCCTAAATCTAGAAAACCCTAATTTCATTTTGAAAATAAAAATGTAAACCCAGCACACCAATAACATTGCCCTATTCAATCAACCTTCACCCCAGAGAACTCACTCATCGCAAATCCAGCTCACCCCCAACACATTTCAACAGAGAAACCAAACTAAATCCCAAAAGAACAAAAACCCAGCTCCAAAAATCAAATAAAAACAGACCCAGATGACCATTTCAATCAAATCACAACCAAAAAACAAGCAAGATCCATGTGAAAATCGCAGCAAATGAAAGGAAGCAGAAGAAAATATTTACCTTGCTGGGTACACGAGTTGTTCGACTTCGTTGTTCGTCGGAGGGAGAGAAACTGATTTCCAGAGAGTGAGTCAGGAAAAGAAGATCGAAGCCTGATGATGATGGCAACGGACGGAGGGTAGCGATGTATGGAGCTAGGACGATCGGAGAGAGTTAGGAGGAGAGAGGTCTGAGTGAACTGTGAAATGACAGGAGTCGGGAGGACCAGGAGGAAACAATTTCTTGATTTTCTTCTATTATTCATTCTAGAAACGGGCCGGGCCGGGGGCCCGTCCACTTCTATTTCAAGATCCGTCCCGTCCCGCCCCGCTAATATGGTATACCCGAACCGCCCCACCCCGTTTTGTGTTTAGAAATTTTGGATCCGGCCCTTACCCGCCCCAAATAACGGGTACCCGCCCCTACCCGCGGGTCCAGGATCCGTTTGCCCAACCCTACTTCCACCCACAGAAAAAAAGGGTATGTCTGGCAAAAATCACGATTTGTTGCTTATCTCTTTCAATCCCCTACAAATGAGAAATTATTTGTCTTCGGCTCTCAGTCTTCCCTCATACCTTGAATTATATGAATTGTGCAATTCAACTGATTCCAATGTATCATACGCACGAAAGGAGCAATAAGGAGAGTTTACATTTTATATGATGAAAATTTGGACAACATGCATACTAGATATCTAATAGGGAATTGATATCTAGCAATAATGTGCTTCTTGTTAGAAACATTTCAAATACTTTTCCAAAATTAACTTGTATTTTTACCAAGGTTCTAAAAGACGTTAGGCGCTGGTCGGGCGATGGGCGGCTAGGTGGACTAGGCGGATTTAAGTAAATCTATTATATTTCGTGTAAATAAGTGTCTGTTTATACTTAAAATATATATTTTTTCATCGTAAACTATAAAATAAAATGTCATATATATTATAAAGTATTGAAATATAATGAAAACATGGGAACAAACATATAATGTATGTTTATTTAACTATTCAGCAAGTCTCTTACAATTTATTGCAAAAATTTAAATACAAAATGAAAGTTATCTATTTTATGTCTAAGTGAGTCGCAACCTAAGCGGGTAACTAGGCGGGTCTAGGCTGGCTAGGCGGTCTAGGCGGTCTAGGCGAGTGCCTTATTAGGTCTAGGCGCCATTTCTTAATTTTCAAACGCCTAGGCATTAATCGAGGCAGTGGCGAACCACCTAACGCCTAGGAGGGGATTTTTAGAACAATGATTTTTACTAAGGTTTGATTCCAAAAACATTTTATCTAAAAGCGTTTTCAGTTGTTTAAAATCATTTATCAAACACGCCCTAAATAATTTCTACGCACGCAAAAGATAATGTTTTTTTTTTTTTTATCAAAAGCAAATTTTATTACAAACAAAGAAAAAGTACACAGAAGAGGTCCAACTACAACTTAAGTGCAGAACAAAAAAGTGAACCTCAAAAGCACACAAAAAAGGGAAAAGGATCCTCGCCATATCCTTTTCCTGGGGATCCTGTGATTGTGGTCGTTCATCGTACATTTTCCGGTCAGAAATCATTTGAAATTTAAAATTTAAAATTAAATATAAATAGTACCTAATGAAAACTGAACGCACGATGTATGATGAACGGCCACAACCACGAGATCATTTTCCACAAAAAAGAGCCCAAAACAAGTTTTGGAGCCCAGTACAAACAAAAACAAAATAAGAAAACCCTCGAACCTTGCAGCCCCGCCGTCGCTAGAATTCTTGATAGCCACCGTCACAATCCACCCATCGATCCAACCAATCAAAACCCCTAGAATGAAGGAAACCAGTACTCCATCGCCCTGCAAACAACAC